GTTCATTACTGCGGGTCAAAATCAGCGACAGAGTCGTCCTTCAATACCTTCATGTCCCCCACTACTGAACATGATCTCTCTCTCTCTCTCTCTCTCTCTCTCTCTCTCTCTCTCTCTCTCTCTCTCTCTCTAAACCCACCTAACAGCACGAAGACTTCCACGGAGTCCACGATTCGACAGGACAACCGTTATGCAGCACACACAGTAGAATTATCAAGCTGCCTTTTTTTTCGCGGACCCCCCCTTACGTGGCACTGCTTTCCTCTTTTTCGCCCCTGCTCTGCTGCTATCCCTTTCCACGTGTCTGGCGTCCATCCATTCCTGTCTCTCCTCAGCTCTCGCCTTCTCGTCCAACATACCTTGATATTTCTCAACCCAGCGACCAGTCTCATGTCCCTGACCTGGATCGTCACCCTCTTCGAATGGATGGCCACCTCGTTGGTGTTCTCGAAATTGGCGACCAGGTACCCCTCGGTAGCCTCCATCAAAGCACGCACTGCCATCATCTGAAACCTCACGCCCATACCCGGAGCAATGTCCCGCTCCACAACCTCGTGCACGAGACGCAAGAACGGCCTTAAAGCCAAGCAAAGGTCGGTGGATCGTTGCGACTTTCTGATTTCCGACAAAGTTGTCATCCCGGGGCATGGACGGCGTCTGGGGACCTGAGTTCGTGCACCATCGGGGTCTCCGGTCCCTGGCACAGGCTTCGGGTTCACCTTCTTTGCGGGCGTCTGCCCACGTGGCGATCCCGGCGTGCACTTCTTTTTCTACCCCGGGCTCTGCGACATCGCGACATCGCTCGCCTCGCCCATGTCACCCTGTGCTGCAGAGCACCCCCCGACGTGACCAGGACCACATGGGCCCTCCACCTCAGCAGACAAACGGAAAATTTCTGAGCGCTTCTCTGTCCTCTTGCCTGCCTACGCTGAACCTGGCAAGCCATCCTCCAGCAGATACCGAATGTCTCGCAGGAGTCCATCTGAGTAGGTCAGATGGAAAGGCACACCAAGCGGGTCTCTGAATCTCATGGTGACGTCTCCACCATGCTCATATGTCATGGGACATACGACCGGGACCCAACTAAGAACGGTCGTGCAACCGTGCCTGCGGCGAATGCGAGCCATGTATCTGTTTTGACCGTCGTCGTGCTCTTGGGCCGTACAACTCCCCTCAACCATGGACCACATCTCCTGGTCAGCCATGGAGTCATAACCCGCGCACACCATCTGACGCTCGTCCTCCCTTATCTTCTCCCAGCACTGCTTTGCATGTTCAACCACCAGGACGTGGTCCTTTACATTCACATTGAAAATTGAGACACGTGCCAGAACCACGAGGAACTGCCAATGCTCCACAATGCCTGCATGCATCCATCCCAATAGGAGTCAATGCCCTGATTGCAGTCTTGCTGCCATCATCACCTTGCCATCAACCACTGCAGGATGCAAACATCTTGGGACCCAATTGACATGATAGCCATACTTTTCAGGGGTCATATGCTGCTGCAACTGTCCTTCAGGGATGACACGGGCCCCAATGTCCATGGCAGACAGAACGTCACTCCTCATTGTGAGATGGTCCCATATCTGCGAGCATACTCCTTCCTACGTGGCTTTCTGCCCTCTTGCATGCGTGTATGTGCTGCCATCCTCACCAGTGAAAACTTTCCCTTCAACCACCTCCGAGTCCATAGGGTTCCGAAGCGGGGGGAAAAAACATGGGTATTACATGCCATTGCCTTCTTCTCGTCTTATGAGACCTCCCTGTTGAGGTGCCTGAAGGAGAAGTTGCCATTCACATAATGCGTGCTCCAGACATTTCCCATGGCATCACGCATCATCATCCTCACACGGCCACATGGAATCGGGATCACACATAGCCCCGAACCCCACCTAAGATCCCTCCTCGCATCGCTCTCGTGGCACGTCGTTCTCCCTGTTGCGTCGTTCCCGCCAATCACCCATGCCTTTCCGCAATCAAAACTGTCGTACAAAAAATCGTTCAGCCTGAACTCGCCCTGCGCCTCCAGAACACGCCACATGTCCAATGCATATCGCCCTTTCACCTCTGTTGTTGACCCATCATTCAACCTTAATAGTCTGTCAAACACGATTGTCAGAGTTATGTTTCGCCATGTATTCTTTTGGGGGGCAGGAAATGGAACCCATGTCCCTTCGACTTTGAACGCAAAGCAGGGTGCTCCTCCAACAATACCCGATTGAACACGACCCGACACCCAATTGATGTCATATGGGTACTCTTCTCCTACTGATGTCTTCACCACATTTTCATCTTTCACAATACACCCTGTCAGAGATTTTCTGCTTCCCATTCCTCGCTCCTTTCTCTCTTCCCCAACCGTTTTCGTCTCACAAGTGCTCCCTGTTGCATCATTCTCTATTTCATCACCATCACCCATCATCTCTGCAGTCTGTGCACATATTGTCGCAAGCACCTCTGCACAGTCTGCGTTGCTCCCTCCTGCCGAATTCCCTTCCTTGCTGCCATCTGCAAAACCCTTCAGAATGTCCTCCGTCTCCATGGTGCATGTCTCTCCACCGTTGACAGTCGATGCAATCGCGGGTTCCATCTATTGCATGAGACACCACATACATTTATGAGAACACATAGGTGCGACATGCCCCCCTCACCAGAGAGAGAGAGAGAGAGAGAGAGAGAGAGAGAGAGAGAGAGAGAGAGAGAGAGAGAGAGAGAGAGAGAGAGAGAGAGGTTCACTAGTGCGGGCCTGAAGGACAACAAACAGCACCGGTGGACACTGATATGGCACGCAGTAGTGCACCACTTGTGTGTCGTGAGGCAAAAAGCAGCAAACATTATGGACATAAATTTCCTCTAAGCATAAAGTAATAATACAGGCAACACTTAAACACACATCATAGTGTGTGTGTGTGTGTGTGTGTGTGTGTGTGAGAGAGARAGAGAGAGAGAGAGAGAGAGAGAGAGAGAGAGAGGTTCACTACTGCGGGCCAGAACTCCAACAAACATCTCATGCGAGACAGACATTGGCCCGCAGTAGTGAACCTCATGCTGTTGGACAGGGAAACACGCAGCGACAGAGAGCGGTTCACTACTGCGGGCCAGAACGACAACAAACAGCACCAGTTGACACTGATATGGCACGCAGTAGTGAACCACAAGTAGTTGGAAACGCAAAGACGCAGCACCACTGAGAGGTTCACTACTGCGGACCAGAACTCCAACAAACATCTCATGCGAGACAAAAATTTGGCCCGCGGTAGTGAACCTTATGTTGTTGGACAGGGAAAGACGCAGCGACAGATGACGGTTCACAACTGCGGGCCAGAACGACAACAAATAGCAGCGGTGGACAGTGACATGACACGCAGTAGTGAACCACAAGTATGTCAATACGGGAAAAGGCGGCGAACATTATAGACAGAAAAGTGTGGACGAAGAAGTTGTAATACAGGCAGCAATAAACATACATAATAGTGTGTATGTGTGTGTGTGTGTGTGTGTGTGTGTGTGTGTGAGAGAGAGAGAGAGAGAGAGAGAGAGAGAGAGATCACGCGTCCGTGACCACCCGCACAGCCACGATTTGACATCTTGTGTAGAGAGTTTTTAAGCGGTCGTTGATGTGAAGTCCTTTCCTGCAATGCTCACATTCGTTATTCCCTCCATGCTGGTCTGCATTCGTTACGACCTGTACCATTATCTCTTTGATGTACGATATGAGATGGAACAGACAGTCCGCAACCAGCCTCGCCATTTGTCGCGAATTCGCTTTTGCAACAAACTTTTGAAATGTGTCCGTCGTCATAGGCAGCGCAACAGATTCTGCATCAGCACAAGGTGCTTTGCTAGCGACGACATATGGGAAGTTGTGACGAACGTGATGACAATTCAGTGTGCCAACATCGGTGCACGCCAGCAGGGTATGCGGCGCAGGCGCGGAGTCCCCGACAGTGGTCCCAATTCCTGTGGAGATTTGCATTGTTGTGTCGATTTCTTCACCTGCCTTCGTCCTTTTACCTTCTACACTTCCCATGACAACTTCGTTCGCACAAGTCACCGTCATTTCGCCATCCAACAACCTACCTCGTGTGTGTTGCAAGGCATCAATGACGTTCGAGCAACCGTTCAACAGAGACGTCATATAACAAAGAAGGTCATCCTTACCAATCGCGACACCCTCATCACAGAGACCGTACTCATCTACAGTTTTCTTAAAGTGGCGAATACAGTCTGCTGCGAAGGCTTATTGGTCGACGACACTGCGTGACAAAACAGTTAGCGAACCCGTATTATATTCTTGGCTATCATACGATGCCCACCCCTCCTTTAGCACACACTTCTCAGGGCTGCCACAAGATGCGACATCAAGTCCTTGTGATTCCCTGTGAGTTCTCTTTGTGACGTGGGCGGCGAACCCTGTGAGTTCTCCGTGTGATTCAAGACCGCGATGCGCCTGCGTCTTTTAACATCCAACCATGTCTCGAACTCGTCAAATGTGGTGGTCTTCGTTTCAGCTATTGCCTTCAGTCTTGCAGTCATGTCCTCCCTCAGACGAGTTATGTCTAAACACTTTGGATCGTCTAGCAACAACCAGAACACAGTGAACATCCTGTGTTCCGCAGTTTCTGTCATTTCTACGAGCAGTGACTTAATACGGCCTAGTTCGTCTGACATCTGTCTCGCCAATTGTTTCTGCTTATCTACCTCGTATGTTACCCTGTCTATATATTATCACTGCTTCTCTACTATCTCACCCCAGTTCCGGTCCATCTCAGTCGTCTTCTCTTCTTTGGCCCCCAGTAGTAGAAAGTGATCCGCCGTTGCATCACACTCTTCGCCTGACTTTATTTTCTGTCCGGTTTTGGCCAATCTTCACATCTGGAAATATATGTACATACAGAGAAATACAGAGAGATAGAGATAGAGATAGAGAGAGAGAGAGAGAGGCAGAGACAGACCCTCACTACTTCCATAGTTGTTGTCAGCGGGCGCCTACCAAAGATTGGCTATATGTACGTGGCAACATACATTGGTATTTATTACTGTACATCTGCGTTTCCCCCGTACATGACTCGATATAACAGTGGACAACACAACTTAACAAATACAAAGCAGACCATTTTTTCCAAACGCATCCGTCGGAATGAGGAAGTGAGAGAGATAGAGACGCAGGAAATAAAGAATGGAGAGAGAGAGAGAGAGAGAGAAGCCATAAACAAAGAAAGAAAGAACCGTCCGACAAAACTAAAATGTATGGAGTTCGCTACTGCGGGCCAAAATCACACTTATGTACCTCGTTCAATGGGTTCGTGGCCCGCAGTAGTGAACTCTCTCTCTCTCTCTGATTCTCTGTCTCCCATTTGTAAGAAATGGCAAAACAAAAGAAAAGGAAGTAAGAAAAAAATCAAAAAAGAAAGAAGATTTTTTTTTTTTTTTTTAAGAACGAAAGAAAGGAAAGAGAGAGAGAGAGAAACAAAGAACAAAAGGAAGGAAGAAAGAAGGAAGAAAAGAAGGAAGAGAGAAAGAAAGAAAGAAAGAAAGCAAGAAAGAAAGAAAGAAAGTTGAGAAAGAAAGAAAGA